TCCAATTAGATGTTCCCGCTACCATGCCTGTTGTGAAGGAGCTGTGCGGACTGGAAGCTGTGGAGAGGTACTTGGAATGGATTGTAGGCAGAGAATAAACGTACGTTATGGCTGGATGGCACGATCATGCTAGTTAATTTGTCCATCACAGCCAAAGAACCTAAAATGTGAGTCAATCGCCGTCACTTGATCTCAATAAGGATACGAATATAGGTTTTTCAACATATTTTAGGTCTGTTTATAGTGCAAAACCAATAAAAAAACAAGAATTGGCGATAGATGAACCATTCCATCTCACGTTACTTGTTTAGGTTCATTGTCCGGTTTTTGAACATTACTGTTGAATAAGCTTTATCTGTAAGACAACTAAACATGAACCATCTTATTATACCTTTTGTGTTTGCAACTTGTATTGAGACAAATTGTGTTAGACCAAGGTTCATTCGACCGGAGAATGGTGTTCGTAATCTCGGATATTGGGGTGTTTTCTGTCTATATTTATATTTGAGGAAAATTCTATGCAATGAGAGTTTTTAGAATTGGGGTCATTGTTGTCCAAACACTCTGCCCCAATAGTGCTAAATTAAACCCCTATGTCGTGAAACGGTATACTAGATTGGTGAAGGAACCCGGTAAGCTGCAAAGCTTATGTGAATAACAATAATAGTAAAACATAAGAGCATTTGGGCTCCTTAAATGAGCTCCTAGCTATAATTTAGGGAGGATCTCAAAATAATCAACTTTATTCATGCTCTGTATCCACCTCTTAGGGATGCCTAGGCGCTAAGCGGCTAACCACTCCCACAATTAATCCCTATCTATTTATAAAAATAAGAAAGGGCACCTAGATCTACCTAGGTGCCAGTCCCAATTACCTAAGCCGCCTAGCCCGCCTTGGTGAGCATAGATAACTTCATCTTACATTTTATCTTTTCAATAAATTGTAGGAAACTTGTTGGATACTTGTATGAACACTCATTATATCTTTGTTCCCTATATTTACAACATGATCTAGTACTTTATAATTTATATATTGTTGGAAATAAAATAGAGAGTAAGAGAGAATACAAAGACACGAGAGAAAGTTGAGGAGAAATCAAGGTGTGTCTCCTTTCTCATTAGAGTGCCTATTTATTGGCGTAAGATTTACATAGAAAGGTGTTCAACTATTAAGATATTACATATTTGACCTAGAACTGAACGACATAACAAATATTGTTTATAACACTCCCCTTGGGTGTTCACCAATCAATGGTAGTTGCCACGACAAAACCTTACTTGGAAAACCCAATGGGAAAACACCTAAGGAAACTAGAAAAATCGGGCACCACGATTATGAAATACTGTAATGGTGTTGGACATGTATAATATTGCCTCGCTAAAATCCTGATAGGACAACCCAGTGGGATAAAAATTTGGTTGAAGGGAAAAAGAGCACAACACGCTTATATGTCCATTATAGCATATTGTCGAAGACTCCGCCTAATGAATAACTCTGGCGAATACACGCCATATACACAAATAGCTTTATAGACTCTCCAAAAGTTCTACCATGACTCTTAACTCTTTCAAGAATATGTTGCAATGATAATTTTAGTTCAAACGAACAAAAGTACTCATTGAGGTAATATAAACCAAATTTATCTAGAAAGTACATATTTTGAGCTTTATGCTCTTAAATTGAAATCTTTGGATACGAATTTTATGGCATTTTCATACTTTAAGAAATGGCTTTGAGAGATAAATTCTCAAGTGGTTAGTATGCAGTCTCCACATGCCATAAGTGTCACACCTAAAGTAACATTGTACTTATAGAAATATGGCTACATATATGATGACAAAAAAATGCTCATATCTATTATGAAGCATCATGCCATACTAGCGAGTTTATTTCACTAATTACAAACACCCAAGAATAATTTGGAGTATATATTATAGGTTTCTTATTCCACATTTTTCAATAGCCCTAAAAATTGATGACACACCCCAACCCTGATATCTAGAGGACACCAAAATCATGATGTGATGGCCATCACCCGAATGGGTGATGAAGCCATAATATGCATGAAGTCATAACTAAAATTATCAACCGTTGAAATCTACCAAAATTTGGCAGGACTTTCCCTAAAATAAGGATAAACTCAAATTGAGGCACTTACAGTAACGACATTTATTTCAACATATCCCTGGAGTGCCACACTTTATTAGGTATCCGACCCTCTATCACAAGCATAAGAATGGGTTCAAAGCATATTTACCCAAACAAAAATCCTATGAATATACTGAGTAAACACCATACTCAGTGGAATATGTCAGGGCTGCTGGAAAGTACCTTGACATGATCACTGCTATAGCTACTGAATCTTGAGAGGGTGAAAAACATTCAAATGTGAGTGGACGAAAAAAAATAAAGTTTTATAAAACATTTTATTTTTTGAACATACAAACTCCCTGTTTTGAAAATGTTGGGTTTTTGGCTCAAAATTAGGATGATGCAATAAATTAGGTTTGTGTTACCTATTTGGTTTTGGTGTCCTATTTGGGTTTGGTTTTGACTTCTTAGTTAGTTTCCTTGGTGGAGAGATTTTGTTAATTACCTATTTGATTAGGATTTGGATTTATTTCCTATTAGGTTTCTTATTGTAACCTAAGTCCTATGCACTATAAATAGGACCTTAGGGTTAGTGTATTTAGGGTGCCTCATCATGGTTTAGAGAGCTTTTCTCTATTTTGGTTTTGGGTGGAGGTCACTATTTGGAGTCATGAGTGTGTGGCAAATTCATGGCTCATTCGTTTGGCAAATTTGGTGAGAGTCAATTTGTGAGTTTGTGAGTTAGAGAGCAATTTGGAAGAATCTTCTCCGTTTGTTTTGGGTTCTCTACTCGTTTGGTTTAAGGTTTGTAATTTGTGGGATTTGGGTTGTGAGAGTTTAAATACTCTTTTGTAATCTCAGTTTGTTTAATGAAATACCTCGCCGTGCTTTGCTCGTGGACGTAGGCTTTACGCCAAACCACGTAAATCTCTTGTGTTAGTTTGAGATTGTTTGTTTTAGCTTTCACCTACGATGTTGATATTTGGTACTTTGTTATAATTTGCTTCCGTTTGCGCATAAAAGTACAACAAAAAACACATATAATTTCTGAAAAGTTAAGCATGCCATACAACTAAAAACTGATATATACTTGTATATAATGAGAGTTGATGAGTACATACATACAGAGCTGGTAATTACCGATGGCATGGCATACAATGTCATTCACTAGTTGTAAAGGATGCTAGATAATATAATCATGTCATTGCCGTGTAATCTCGAGGCAATGACAAGTTGAGAATATAATTGTGTAATCATGTCATTAATAGGTAATCTCAAGGTAATGACAACCTAAGAATATAATTGTATAATCATGTCAATACCGAGTAGTCTCAAAGTAATAACGAGCTGAGAGTATAAATGTAGTACCCCAATGCACGTGTAAGATGATATATAAACTTCCACTAACCGTAGCAAGTGGAACTTAGAAATATAATCATGTCATTGCCGAGTAATCTTGAGGCTGTGGACGTAGTACAATACTTTAATAGCACGTTTACTAATCTGTAATCAAATTGAGAGGAATTGAATTGATGAAGAATTGGATTGAGGAGGAATTGAAATGAGGTGGAATTAGAATCAGATTCCTGTTGAAGTTGTTTACTAAAACTGTCCGGAATCGGAATACAATTCCATAAAGTTGTTTACTAATTCAGCAGAATCGGAATATAAACCAGTATGATTACTAAAATGCCCTTGTCTCAAATCAAATATTTTATATACTTTTTTTAATAAAATTTGATATAGTATATTATAGTAAGAAATAATTAAATTGCTTTTTTATTTCATAGACATACTAAAATGATTTTGTTTATTTTTTTTTATAAATTTAAGTATTGACTTTAATATCTAAATTTTCTCGCTCAAGTTATAGTTTTTTCTCTTCGGCATATGTATGGAGTTGTGCATAATGTGAATGAACATAGAATTATACTTAATGAGCTAGAAGGACATGGGTTGGGTGAAAAGAAATGAGCTGGGTGAAGATAGAAAATGAGCTGGGTGAAAAGAAAAATAAGTCTACGGTTAAAAGGATAATCTTGGAAATAATGAAAGTAAGTGGGGGCATAAAGGGAAAAAATTATCATTCCAATTGCTTGGGCCCAAATCCTCCAATTTAAGGAATTGGATTCCATTTTTTGTGTGGGCCCCACACACTTTTGATTCCTCCCAATTTTAGTAAACACAGGTATAATTCGTAATCGGAATCGGATTCCTTATTCTCATTCCGATTACGGGTTAGTAAACGCGCTATAAGTCTATATGATGTATGTGTGCCACAAGATAAGTATTGATAAATAAATAACCATCATGAAGTCGTCGTCATAAATCATAATCATATATCATGAGTCTGATAGTAAACTATTGAAATATGTCTAACTCATAAATCATAAATTAGGGTAAAAAACATAACTCTGAAGATATATCATGAAATTAGTGTAATCGGTAAAATATAACTAAAATTCATTTTTATCTAGGCATGCTTAGAATTTAGATAAATAAAACATTTCTGAAAAAACAGTCCACTCACAAATCATTAATGAAGTCCTCTTCTAGTTGGGTACTAGGTATAATGCCCGCGCGTTGCCGCGGGTTTAAAAAGTGTAACAGAATATTAATACCATTGATAACAAAAATATTAGAAACACTATAGAGATAAACAGTTAAATATGCACAACTTCATTGGTAAATATTACATCCATTTGTCATAGTTTAGTAGTTATAGCTATCATTCTACTGAAACCAGCACTTGGATACAAAAAATTACAAAATGCTGGTCTATGTACATGCAAAAAATATTACATTCATCTAACAGTCTGGTAGTTGTAGTTGTTTTTAACCAGAACCAGCAATGATATACAAAATATTAATAAGTGCTGGTGTATGAACATGCAAAAATATTGATAAGTTTCGAGTAAAAAGAGTTATTTGCATGCCATAAAACATCCGGAAGAGTTTTTTACATATGCTGATGAACCATACTGTATATTTTTTAGGGCACCAGATGAAGTTTTGGTTCTCCACTGTCAAAACAACCTAGTTGCAGAAAATAAAACAAACTATATTTAAATAACTTGTTTGGTAACTGTTGTTGGTCAACTAATCTTTGATTCAGTACTAAATCTTTACATGGCACACCAAAAAGCTTTTCACCAGATTTTCCAATTATGAGAGCATTGATTTCATTGGTGTGATGCTCATGAACCAAATTGACTTTATACCTAGATTAAAAAAAAACAAAACTGCTTAAGGGAAAATAATCTTGAATTCAACTTATACAAATAAATATAAAACAGAAGAAAGCATTGATAAAACCACAAAAATCAATGTTTGTTTTTAAACTTAAATCTACAACGAAATTCATGGTTATTAAGTTAATTAATAGTTTGGATTTATGATAGCCATATTGGTTATGGTCTTCACATATACTCAAGTGTAAACAAAAAGAAGCAGATTGTAGTCACTAAGTAATGAAGATAACATGGTCAAAAGTGCAAAAGCTATACCAATTTTGTACAAAAAGGGTAAATATGTGCTGCAATGAGTATGTTTTGAACAATGATTTAATTGTTGACCACATAGTATTTGAAAGTTGTTTAAATAACGTGAAAGCAGAAAAGGTTGGAATTTTTTGTTTAACATCACAAAATTTAAGCTAAGTATCACTCTAACAAAGTTTTGGATAACAGCTGCAGAAAAACAGCGAGAAAAATAATCAAGGAGGGTGAGGATATCTGACCTGATTTCATTCTTGATAAATGTATTCAAACCATGTGCATACAAATATGAGAAAAAATGTGAAAAATGTGAAAAAACAGATTTGGTAAATGTTAGATTATATAAAGAAAAGAATAAAAGATAAGGATAACAAATATTTAAGACAAAGTTTGAGGAATGCATGTTAAACATTACCAAGGAGTTGGAATTTGGTTTGGATGCTTTTGGCAGATCAGCTGTCCAGTTGTCAAGTCTATGCATTTGTTTTACACAGTTGGCATACGCACTATACCACCATTGATAACGTGTGTCAAAACACTTGACACACGCTTTACAGAAAAACGTATCATTCTGCAAAACAGTTTGTAATAGTTTTGTATAAGGAATACTAATTATGTAGACAATGTTTTATTAAAAATGTAAAAGTGCAATCATATGTTTTTTAAGATGAGTTAAAAACATGTAATTAGATTTTATACCTTGTGTAAATCAAGATCTAGAAAAGCGACTTCATCAATTGTGAACATCTTGGTTGTACGTAAAATTTCGGCCTCATTTACTTGTCTGGAGAAGGGGGCCAATATTTTCACAGGCTCGTTACAATTTGCAAACCTGTATGATTGAAAATGTAAAACTGTTTGAATAATTTTATGAAACTAATATTTCTTTTGCTTTTACAACAGTGAAAAGAGTTTAATTGTGTTAAAAGCTATAGAAATACTTACACCGACTTGTATGCATTAACTTCTGGGATGTTTGGATCAAAAAGGAGAAGTGAGCAATCAGTACTGTTCATCACAATTTTATCTGTGCATTGAAAATAATGATAAGAAAGTTGAAAGAAAATATTGATAAATGGTTTTACTGACACAGGCCAAGTATCAGAATGATATGATACAATCACTTACTGCACCATGACTTTAATTTAAATGGACGAAGTTTTAAAAAGCTGAAAATAAAAGAGAAAGTTAATTAATAACAGTGATTGACAATCAATTTATTAAGATATTTAAAAATTAATTAATCAAGTATAAAACAAAGATATATGATAAGTCACACGAAGTGAATATAATAAAATTATGTCATCAGAAAAGATTTGAACAATTTACACAAAGCTGTGTTAAAAAATAATAATAAATAAAGATACGAAAGATTGCTTCTAATTAAGTTAAGTACCTAGATAAAGCTTCACTTTTAAGCTTGTAAAAATGACAACAATTGGGAGAGGCAGTGCTTGGACAGATGAAGAACAAAATTCTTCAGCGACGTCTCCCCATAGTGTAACAGTGAGTTGTTCCCTTCTGTAGCTATATTAAATCAGAAACAAATATATACATGTTTTTCAATATAAAGCAAATTATGAAGATAATCTATAATGAGAGTGATAAGAAAAAAGGAATAACCTGACATTTTGAATGTGTATATCACACTTGTATGCTACCCTTTGATTAATCTGTTTTGGCTCTAAATGTTGTATTGCAGTGAGATGACCAATGACATCTTCCAATTTAAAAGGTAAATATAAGCATGTTGTGAAAAATAATTTGGCAAAAATAAACTTTAGTGTTTTTAATCTCTATATATAGATACATATATAATATTATTACCTGTAAGAATGTCAACTTTGTTCAAGTGGGGATAAAGAGTGTTGTAATCCTGTAGGAAAAACCGGTGTCGAGGAATAGGTGGAAACACATTTTGAGAGCTTTTTGAAATTTGTTTTACCATTGAATATAAGCTGAGTCTCATGCGGCACCACATTGTACTGGCCCTTCATTCTAGTGGTCCGAAAATTTGTGATTTCATAGCTACCACCAGGTTCAATTTTTAAGCTGTAGTCTCGTAGTCAATGTCCGATGTGGAGCCTTGAACCGCATGTTTCTTTACTATTGGTTATGCATATAAAGTGAATCCAAAAAAAAAAGGGGGAAAAAAACGAACAAAGTTAAAAAGGAGATTAATAAACGGAAAAAAATAGATATTATTCATCAGTATGCATATATTAAATTGTTAACATGGAGAGATTATTCATCGCTAAGTCTTAAAAGAAATGATTAAATAAGTAAAAATATTAATTTCTCAGACATCAGTTATATAACAATACTATCTTGTGCAAGTAATGTAGATAAATAAGGAAAGATAAGCTAACTTAAATCAAAATTTGATAACTATGCAGGAGTAAAGACTTAAACAAAATATTGATTAAGAAAAATTCAATGACTTATGAAAGTTCAAAAAGACACAGAAAAAAAAAATTGAATAGCCGTCATTGGTTCAAAGAATATAACTGAGCTCATACTATTATCCAACTATAGTTATCCATATCATAAACTGGGGGAGAAACAACATTTAGAAATCATTCAAATCAAGAAATACCTAATAACCCAAATTAAATTTTAATCAAACAAATGAAAACATACCAGCCAAATCAACAAAACCATAAAACACTTCACTCAAAAATCAATTAAGACTTAAACTTGAGATTTTCATCAGAGAGTAAGTGTACCTAAAGCTGTGTTCTTTATAGTTGCTAGAGCGCAGGACGACAATCATCGCTTTCTGAAAATAAAAAAGAACTAAATCAAATGACACAACCCAACAAAAAAAAATTAAAAGTTAAAAACGCACGCTAAAAAAGAAGGGAAAAATAACCAATAAGAACTTGTAAGACCTGAGAGGTTTTAAACAAAAGGAATCTGGAGCAGTGCAACACTTCTAAGCCACCTAAAATTTAATCAAATTGCTATATCAGAACCATCATAAACATAAGAGACAACCAAATTGATATAAACATAAGAGGCAACCGCATTGGTATATCAAAATAAAACGCAGCTTATAATTTGGAGAACCTAAAATTTAATCGAACTGCTATATCAGAATCAGAACCATCATAAACATAAGAGCCAACCAAATTGATATATGAGAATAAAACATAACTTATAATTTGGACAACATAAAATTTAATCCAATTTAAACATGACAAATGAACAGATAAAGATGCTCCCAAATTTTTCGATCACAAATGGACCAAACAACTGATGACAACTTTAAGATTAACTACGTAACAAAGTAAACCTCACCCTCGACTGAAAACAGACAGTGCACCAGCCAAGTTACCGTCTTCTCTGTACAAACAAAACCTGCAAAACCAATCATGAACCAAAAAAAAAACAAATTATATACCATAAGCTTGAAAAACGTTGAGAAAGGAAATTCCAGAAAGAGAAAACAGATGGAAGGCAAAGACTCTTCAATTTTAAACCAAAAAAAAAAACAACATATTGTGTAGACAAATTGCTGGGTTCAACAGCCCGTAATTAACAAAACCAAACAAAACCCCAAATTGATTTCAAAAAAAAAGAAAAAAATTAATAGAAAACATTCCACGCCGTTTATATCTTGCATCCCTTCTATAATTGTTTCCATCTGAGACCACATAAAAACCTCCATATTCAATTTAACCACCCATGAAAATCCATAAGAGAAACTGGGTTTAAAAATTCACCCAAATAAAGATTTAACTTTTGTATTCTTTCGAATCTATCAAAATCAAACTTCCCAGTTTCAAACAAAAGAAAAATTAAAAGTTGAAAACCCTTACACTGATATGGTGTTGAGTGAAGAAACGAAGAGCTGAAAAGGACACAGACCGAGATTTGAAAGGGACGACCGAAGGCGAGAATGGAAAGAGGAAGAGGAAAACGCACAGCTTGCAAAACGATAGAAATGCATAATTTGGTATGGGAAACTGAACAAAAAGCAAAGTGGGTATAAACTAAAAACCAAACCTCACGATGACCGACACGTGGGCTTGGTAAAAAAATCACTGACACGGCATGGAGAAGGAACCACAGATAATGGACAGGTGGATAAAAACGGCAGACCCGATGAATCACTGTACAAAATGGAAAGACGCACACTGCAAAGACTAACATCACCACGTGGGCTAGGTAAAAATATCACTGAAACGGCATGGAGAAGGAACCACAGATGATGGACAGGTGGATAAAAACGGCAGACCCGATGAATCACTACAAAATGGAAAGAATCACACTGCAAAGACTAACATGAGGGGCATTTCAGTCAGTTAACTGTACCAAGCAGATAAGACAACGGAAAACAAAGAAGAAACAAAGGGGCATTTAAGCCATTACACTGCTCGTGAACAGTGTTTTCCACCGGATTTTAGTATATAGATAATATATATATTTGCCACTTTGCATTTATGACCTCTTTTTTTAGGAACGGGCCTTCGTGAACTCTCTCTCTCTCTCTCAAATGGAAGGGATGATAAACACGTGTCATAACATAAACCAAAACCAACCTAAACATCCTTGCAGCATCTTTTTTTTCAAATTCCAACACAATATATATATATATATATATATATATATATCTGCCACTTTGCATTTATTACCTCTTTTTTGAGGAACGGGCCTTCGTAAACCACAACTAACCAAAATATCCTTCCAACATCTTTTCTTCAAAACCCAACATACGTACACCACACATGACCAAGAGCAGAATGGATAGAAGGGCAAAATAGCCAATTCATGTAGCATCTTGTAAATGGCTGAAAATCGTGCGTTAGATGAGGGACAAACCAGGAACGGCACTGTTAATGAACAGTGTTTTTCCACCAACGTGACGCGTCGAGATCCGTAAAAAGCAGATTTCTTTTTTCACGATGACCAACATGTGTATACAAAGGGCAAAATTGTAAATTCACTGTACATAATAGAAAAATAGCTGGGGAATGGGTAGCAGCTCAAGGGCATTTTCGCCAAAACACTGCTCGTGAACAGTGCTTTTCCACCGGGTTTTAGTATATAGATAATGTCCTCTAGGGCCTCTAGAACTGCACGCATCTAAGCATATAAAATGACCTATTAGCAAAACACATTTAAAATAATTGAATTTGGAAAGACATTGTGCGAATTCAGAATCAACGGTCGCCAGAAAACCGGTCGGATTATGGAAACATTCGCCAAAAAAGTTCAAAGAACTTTCCCGGCTTCGTTCTCACTCAAATCTCAAACAAATCATGGGATCTATATGAAAAATTCATCTACCCGATGAGACAAACACAAGGACAATGGTTTTAGGGCTTACCTCCATCTGAAAAGGCGGGAAACTCACCAGAAAAAATGACTCGTGGCGGAGTTTTGTGAAACAGCGTCCAAGCTTCGTATTTTAGGAAACGGAGACCACCGTTGAACTCATGGTGAAGAGAGGAAGGTGATTGTGGTCTTGAAAGTTTGTTTTGTCGAAGATTTTGAGGTGGTGGCAGTGGCGAAGCCAGGATTTCTCGAGGGGAGGGCAAACTTAAAAGAGTGCAAGGTTGACAAGGATCATTTTGGAGATAGTGTCTACGAATTGCTTCACGATAATGAGGTGGATAATCAAACATTCGACGTCTATGTCCAAGTCCTGCAGGAAGGTTAGCCAATATTTCATCGAACTCAATGGCCTCACTTTGTTGTGAACTACTCGGAATATTCGAAGAAGGACTTCTTGGAATATTTGAAGGAGGAGGAGGACTACTCGGAATATTTGAAGGAGAAGGACTACCCGAAATGTTTGAAGGATGATTTAAGCATTGTTTCTTATAGTATCGTTCCATTACCTAACTGTAAAATGAAAAGAAAAAAAAATTCTTAGACTCTTAATCCTTGAGTAGACTATACTAATATGCATAATAACTAATCAAACAAACAATTCAATTAATCAGTACCAATAAGCGTACAAATTATTCAATAAATAAATATTCAATTCAACTAATCATATGAATAATTGTATACATTATGTAATAATTCAATTAATTAATCAATAATCAAGAATTTTAATTTTAATTTTCACCCTAAAAAATAATTTCATAATTTCATATCAATAATCATAGAATCATATCAATAAGCAATAACCAATAACCGCATTACCATATGATTTTATACCAATTAAACAAAATTTGTATTAATTAATTAATTAGGGTTAGAGATTATAAATTTAGGGGTTCAAAATTCGTATTAAATTGGCCCGGGTGTTTGAACACAGTGTTCTTCCTGTTTTACCCTCACTCATTCTATGTTATTACAAGTCTGCCACATTTCTTTTGACACATGGGATCACACTCCCCTTCCTCCTCACTTCTTCCTTCATATTCAACTACCTTTCCAGTCAAAACCTTATGCTCAGAAGGCAGACAAAAACAACTGCACTCTCTTACCTTGGACGAAGACGAAGGAAGATGCCACCTAGCACCCATCCTTCTGCTCCTCCGCCACTCCTCGCCCTCACTTGGCTTCGCCACTAGGTGGTGGTGGTGTGGGTGTCGTCGGGAACAAGAAAATCAAGGGAAAGGGAATTCTCCAGAGCATTCTAGGAAGAGAGGAGGAAAAGAAAGATTCACCCATGGGTCCCATTAAGCCTTCAAAGCAATAGAAATTTTCCGAAACAGATCAAGTTTACAAAAATGTCATTCGTTTTAAGTCTAAATCTCATTCTGCTTGTGCCCACACGTTCGTAGAGACAAGTACTATTCAAATATACTAATTAATACTTCATACATGTCACAAAAAATAAAATCAACAAAAGTCAAGGGGTCTTTGGTAATTTTACATTAATGAGGACAAACTACAGGAAAATTAGGAACGAGTTATAACAAATGGAATTTGCATCTTTCTAATTTGGCCAACCCTTTTGCAATTTTTCAACCTTTAATGGTAAAACGTGATTGAATAGCCCTTAGTTGACACACCTCGACCTGGAATGTCCACTTGAACTCCGAATCGAGATGTGCTGGCCAACACAGAAATGTGACAAAGCCAAAAAGTGTAGTGAGGTGGAAAATATGAGTAAATTTAAACCTAAAAATGACTAAATGCGAGAGTGCGCATGTCAACGGGATTGAACCCATTTACATGTGATGCCAAAGCATAAGCAAAGTATAGTAAAAGTAAGATAAGAATTATACCATCAAAGGTACTCTCTTATACCAACATTTGTCAAGAATCCTCGTCGACATAAAAGCTCTGCCACCAAAACCTGGAGGGGCGAAAAACAAGGGTGAGTGGGCCTAAAAATAAAACTTTGTAAAACCTTTTCAGAAACGTAATAACCCATTGCAATAAAACAAGTATAGTATGAAAATACTTACCGTAGCCAGCAATATCTCAAGAATGCAATACTTCACAATATTTCGTAAATAAACACAAAACGTCCGGTAATCACAATATCTCGCATAAAAAAAACATATCAGATTGAGTGATCATCAACATATACTAACACACGAGCTTATGCAGACATATCTTGACATGAACAGAACTGGGTGTAATAATGATTTATGCTTCAGTACTGCAATCACGTGGAGACTGACGCTAGGCGCATCAAATATGAGTCCTAATTACCTATAGCAATCTAGGACAGGACTGGCACCTACAATAGATCCAAAGTGAGCGTATGATGCGATGTGAACATACACATGAACAGTGGCTCTGGCCCGGGCGAGTAGTAATACCAATGTAGCACACGATGAGTAGATAATGTAAATATGATCATGCAACAGTAAATCGATCATTCTAGCCAATAAAATACTATTCATGACCCCAACTATAATTAAGGCATCTTATTATACGGTGTATACCTATGCATCCCGTAGGATTATTTCATAATTCCAATCAATACGACATTTCTTATAAACGTTAATTTACTTATGGCATCATGTAGAAAATTCATTATTAAGTATACATGGAAACTGAATAGATATATATATATATATATATTAGGGCCCATTAGTAAAACTCAACTAAAACGATTAAATTTGGAAAAATGGAGTGCGGATTTGGAATCAGGGCATCAAAATACCCTAAGAAGAGTCATTGGCAATTTCCATAAAAAGTCAATGAAAAGTCAATGGTCAACCCCAAAAAGTCAACCGAGACATCGAGCCGGTCAACTACGTTAAAACTTCAGAATTTCACTAAATGGATGTCAAAAACGAATTCAAGGCATTGAAATTAATCTAAGAGGATCTCAGAAAAATTTCGTAATAGTCAACACAGGGAATAATATTCTTGGAATATTCCATCCATTTCGAAAATGGGTCGGGTCAGATCCTGGGTTCGAATTCGGTTCAACAGGTTTGGTTGCCAATTTCTGGGAATTTTGGCCGAGAAACTTCCCGAGCTCCGATTAGCTTCAAATCACAACCATTTTTCACATTCTCCTATCAAAATGAAACTTAAAGGAGAGGAAGAGAATATGCCAACACAAGGTCCTACCGTAGCAGATGGTTGAAAAATGGCTCGAAAGCCATCAGATTCTCGCCAAAAAACTAGGGAGAGTTTCCCCTAAATTGATCTGCACTAAAACTTCAACATTTCTCTCAAATAAGGTAAGAATCATATACATACAGTGATCTAAGATGATTGACGCCAATTTCTGGGTTTACCTTAGTCAGAATCATCGACAACTCGTTGGTGGTTCATTGGAAGAAACATGAACAGTGGCCTCTGCCATTATTAGGGTTCTAAATTTTTGGCCTAGGTTCGAGATAGGGAAGAAAGTAACGATAGTGGTACTGGTTCACGAGGAAGGGCGAAATGCCATCGTCAGAGCTGTGAGGTGGTGATGGCGTTGTGTTGTTGCAGGGGAGGGATACGAGAAAGGGGTGAGGGAAAAGTAAGGGAGAAGAGAGAGAGATCCGAGTGTGTGGGAGCAAGGGAGACACATGGCAGAGGTAAGGAGGAGAGCTTGGGTGAGGTATGGGTCCCACGGGCCTGAAGAATTATTAAAATAATAAAATATCCAACTAAAAATTATTAAAATAATCAAGGACCAAAATTCTTAAATGCAAAATTACTAAAGTACCCTTACATTTGTA